GACGACTGCGCGCGCTGCGTGGGCCCAGGACATCCAGCGTGGGGCGCTACCAGCGCCCACAGCCACAGTCATGCCCACAGCGGCCTCTGGGACATGTTGGGCCAAAGCTTTGGTGGGAAAGCTCGCGAGCTCGGGTGTGAAAAAGACGGAGATCATATAGGTTCTAATTGCAGAAAGAAAAGGCGAGTCCCCTGGCCCTAGTTTCAACAGGATTTGTTCAAGTGTTCCATTAGGTCTTGAACCTTACAATTGGTATAAACAAGCTGTTCTTTTCTGGCACTTTTCAGCATGTTGCAAAACTATGTTTGTTTGTTTTGCTTTGTTTGGTTTGGTTTTGTTTGTTTGTTGTTTTTCGTTATTAGACGAAAGCAACAATCGAGAATCAACACCAAAAGAGTTAGTTACATGCATGCGGCAGTCTTTGATTGTTTTGTCATGTATTTCCCTTCTTGGTCAGTGTGTTGTCTCGGCTGTTACTTCAATTCATCTTTTTCGTTTTCCCTGTGTGTACAAGTGATTTTCACGAGTTTTATGTTTGATAAGAAGTATAGCCCTGTATGAAACACTTTTCTGGGTAGATAGAAACAGTGACTGACAGGCGGCCGACAACTTTGAGAGGAAAGCTCTTTGACAGAAGAACCTCCATGAATGACAGGCAACCAGAGGAATTTTCTCTTCAAAAAATTAGACAGTCAAAATCCCATGACGAGGTGAACACCATGACTCGGATCCATTCATGCTTTCCCTACACTTTCGCTGGATCTACCCTTCAAGTGTACGATCCAATCCAGGTTCCTCCAGCGGCTTCGCTGTAAACATGGACGGCTCGGTGAAGACGTTTTATTTGCCGGGCGCCACCATCCTCAATGCCCGGACGCTCAGGGTCGGTTCATGCACTATCCACCGAGAAATGAATCTGGCTGCCCTTTTGAGTCCGATGTTTGGTTTCATGTCTTCAAAGTTGGGAGATTCTCCAGAGGTATACGCCTCGAAGACTTTCAGAAATGAAGCAGCCAGTTTGAATTGTCAGGGGTTTGACTCAAGACCGTGAGGATTATTGTACTTTTGGTAAATGGATGAAACATGCGCATACCCACAAATGTTTCCCTTGCGCTTTGCATATATTGAGGCGGCAGAAACTAAAGTTTGACGCTCGAGGGTCTGACGGTCTTTCTAATTCTGACCTACCTCTACATTTGTCTCAGAGTACAATTGTCAGCCGCTCTTCAATTTGTTTTGTTTGACTTGAAATGTATTTGTAATGTATTTTTCATTTGCCACTTGCAGTGTTTGGAACAACTGGGAGGGGTGATTTGAGAAGACATAAATTCAGGGGTATGCCAAGGGGCCTCCAAAAGAAAAAAAGAGGCACATTGAACATCCAACGATGCAACAGTGTCCATGCAGCTCGGGGTTTGGTCCTGAAGCTGTCAGGGTGCCAGTACTGTCCAGTACGGCGTGAACGACAAGTGCGCAGGGATTGCCAGAGAGTTTGGCGTCGGTTCATAGGTTGGTTTTGTCGACATTTGTTTAGAAAGCTTACGATTGAGAATTTGTAAGGGAGTTTTCGAGTGTTGTGCCAAAAACAACTGGATGGGTGATGACTAATCTACACTAATATGTTTGAGAACTAGTGCTTGCGAAGGGAAACAGTGTGACCCAGCCCACAACCATGTGAGGAATGAGCTTTTGTTTGTATGCATAAGTGGCCTGAAACTCCTTTAAACATATATATATATATGGAATGGTGAAATTCCTGTCATTGTCTTATACATTGGAATATACATTATTCTCAGGACCTTTACCACGGCTGAAAAGCATCTTCGCCAGACAGAGGTTTCCGATTGATCCTTAAAAATCACACATCTGCTGAAAAGGTGTTTGGTGAACGAGCTTTCTCACAGGGTGGCAGTGCACTATAAGGGAATTGAATGGACATGTGTTTTTGTAAGTATATATACATATCTTTTTGTTAAAGTCTGTGCAGGCACCAGGTACCTGCACAGACTTTTAAAACATGTGGTGAACACCTGAAGGATGGTTCTGAAGCATTAACCGATCATGTTAGTATTCTGCCTAGGCCCTACAGCCAGTTAACATAATGGTTTAACTGCACTTCTCCAAACACTAGAGACGTGCAGAACTACGCAGGTACTACTTGATGAAGAGCGATACCACAGACTATGCCAATCCTGCCAACTTCGAGATGCCATTGGGCCATTTTATGGAGGGTGATCGCGACTAGTTTAATGAACTCATTTTGGGGCTATACCTAGATCTTCCAACTATCATAGAAACATATACTATATAACCACCATTCTACTATATCAATTGGTTATACTAAGCACCGGCCCCCAAAGACGCCGTTGTCGTTTTCCATTTGTCGTTGATATGTTTGCAATATTGATGTATAGAACAAGAGTCAGAGAATTACTGGCATGTTTGCACGAACTCTTTGCTTAGTAAGGTTGACTGTGTTTTCCTTTGCGAGGCTTGCTTCTTCGTTGAGCAAACCAGTGTTTCAGGTGGAGTTTTTTGTGTATCATCACCAAGAGCATGTGCAGATACAACATCACGGATTGGAACCATCTGATCAATCATATCCAGTTTGTTTGAAGATAGAATACAATCCTGCGAGGACGTCTGACGTATTTGTCTTTCTCCAGTGAGTTGTGACTGCATGAGGGTTTCAGGGGACTGGTGTTTCTCCCTAGTGTGTGGGTCAAAAGATGTCAAAACTGTACATGGGAAGAGAAGTTCAAGGGTTCCAGATGAATCTTTGCATTTTACTTTAACTTTCCCACGTCCGACCGTTGGAATCCCGACTCGAATCGTTGTCGAGGGTGGGCGGAACAATTTGGGATGACCAAGAGAGTCTTGCCCCTTGGTGAGTTCAGGGTGCACATTCCAAGCTTGATGGGGTCTGCACTATATACAGAGGATCATGTGTTTTCGAGTGCCAGAGTTGAAACATGCCAACCGTCGTGTTGTCGTGCGTGTTTTGGTCATGTCCGGTCTCAGGGTGAAGCTGGCTGGAAAGACCATGGTCACCACCATCGACTTGCACGGACGCTGATTCGCAAGTCCGTGTCGTCACTTCGGACTCGGACGGCCGGGAGTGACCGGGTCTCTCCGGCGCGGGTCGGACGAGTCCGGACTCGGACGGCTCGGTTGGGGGGCAAATGAGAAACGAAGTCAGGGATGGAAGGAGCGATCGGACGCTACGAACGGGGCTCCTGGCCTTACTACTAGGAGAAGCTACTAGGGGCTCCTGGCAAGGACGCTACTAAATCATTTGAGCATCCGACCATTTGGGTGTCCTGATTGTCCAGCACGGGCTGCTCCGGGATCTCCAGACAGGTCCAGGAGGGAAGTTGCCTCACCGTAGCCATTTTGGCTGAAGCACTGCGGCTGAATTTGGTTTCTATCGAATGTATGGTGAGCTGAATGGATCGATGTATGAATGTTCAACTTGATGTCCAATTGTGCAATTGGCGATCGCTCGCGCTCATCGCTTTTCTGGCATTTCATGAGGTGAATTCTTCGGACTCCTGGTGGGTGAAGTGGCTCCTCGCTTTCCGCGCGCACCCAGCACACCACCTGTTGTAGCTGGCGGTGGCGGTCCTGGCAGTTGGAAGATTCAAAAAGGTTGGGATCGAATGTATCGGTGCTTTGAAAAGAATGAGTTCCCGATGTGAGTGTCGTTGTGGGGGTCAACGTCACTTCGGGCCTGACAGAGCAGAGAATTGGATTGTTGCACAGCTTTGCTGTGGCATACCTGCTTGGAGCTGATGCCATCGTTGAGCCCTTGCTGAGCACTCCTTCAGGTTTAGGTTCACAAGTGTCCTTGCAGCACTATTACAACACCACAACCATTGCCAATGGCCTGCGTCAATTGAATATGACATTGATTCCAAGTAGACCTCCCACTGCGAAAGTTGTCACTTTGAAGCAGGATCCTGAAATGAGAGGACACCGCATGCAATCAATCTGTTCCAAAGTTCGCACGTTTGTGAAAGAGACAAATATCACGAGTGTTTTCGTCGACCTGGGAGTGGCGCCAGGTTTTCTGAGGGTGGAGGCATGGAACTTTGGGTTGATTTCATTTATCATCCAGCACTTAGAATACAAGCAGGACTTCAAGATCGCAGCACAAAGGATATCCGATAGTTTGCAGCACACGTTCAACGGGCTTCATCTACCTTCGTCAAAGGAAAGCATGGCCGATTTCGCAATCGCAAGAAATGGTTTCACGATTGCAGTAGCTAGGATTCCACTTCAATACAACGATCTTTGTTGCATCAGAGGTGGACAAAGTTGCCAGCTTGAGCAAGTTGGCCATATCGTACAGTGACGATTGCAAATTTATCCAAACAGCTCAGCACCATCGTACAGTGACGATTGCAAATTTATCCAAACAGCTCAGCACCTTGTGTTTGTCGCCACATGACGACGTTTTTGGACCCATCAACCAACTCATTTTGGAAAAAGCAACGAAGTTCACAGGTAACAGTATGTCCTTGATTCAAACACGTTCGACAATAGGAGTGGACCAATGTTCTTCTGGAAGGGAGATTGGCCATTTCAGCCGTGGCGGGACGAGAATGATGTACACGGAGTCTTGCCGAAAAGAATTGAGAGTCAGACTTGCCGCTTTGTGTTTTTTGCTGGACTTGAAGGCACAGGCCATCATGTATGGCGCAGTCTTTGGAAGAAAGCTCGGGCCCTCTGCAACTTACTCGGTTCCACTGACCTATGCTTTGTACATGACGGGTTTCTTCAAAACGTTGAAAAAAGAAGTTCGGGCGCAGTCAGCTGAGAGCGTGAAGCAGCTGATGAGCAACATCAGCCAGAACTATAGCGATATTATATGCACTACTCGCCGGAATGATGTCCTATCCTAATTTTATGGATCGGGATAGGGCGATTCAAAACCCGGATATTCATGCATTGGCCAATTTGTCTGAAGCTGCTGGGGTTGATTTGCGCATATAGTGCTGATGCTCCGACATCCTGCTAGTGCTGTTCGAAGTGGTCTTCGTCGAAAATTTGAGCCAGATTGGCTGCACACCGTGAACATGTACACTTTAACCTCGGCCTTGTTGAGCGCACGGCTGAATTTGATCGATCCTTCCTTCGTAGCTTGCTGGGGCTACGAAACCGCGACTGCAGGACTTAGTGATCTTTTAGCTTCCATCGGCGCACGACAACACCCAGCAGATTTTGACAAAGTGATGGACAATCTCTTTCATCCCAATTCGTCGGAGCAAGACAGCACGGGGATGCACGAAGTGCATGAAGCTTTGCAGACGGCAGTTGGGATTTACAATGAACTTCGTGGTAGATGGTGCTTTCCACGTTTGCACGGTAGGCATGGATGATTTCAAAGTTAGTTTCAAGATGAAGGAAACAAAAGGAAGTTGCCTCATGTTGAGCGTCAGTGTTGAGGGTATGTCTTGCGAGACCGCTATCGCATCGCATCAATAAAGGTGCATCCCTCGAAAAAGGAGCTTCCCCAACATCTCTGACAAGCCTTGCAGGAAGAGGGGGACTACCTGCGATGAAACACCCTTGCAGCAAGTGCCAAAGCAGTAGTAGCCAGAAGCTACTACGCTACTAGGAGCAAGGATGCCAGTAGATAGGTGTCAGACATGCAGAGGGATCGCTTTGACAAGTCCGACCGTCGGATCAGGTGACCTGTGGCGTTCTGATGGATCTCGCGGTCAACCTTTCTTACTACAAGTGTGGAACTGTGTGTGTTCAACATGTTTGAGACAATGTCAACTCGAAAACGAGTGTTTCGCTGTGGGACAAACACTTTTAATTTCCAGATGTTCCAGACATACTGCAAATCGCAAAAACAACACCTCTCACGATCTTGCCGATGAAAGATATGTTGAAAGGTTTGCAAAATCCCAACACCTCCTCGTTTTTGTTGAGGATCTTGAAGCCCAGGACCGGCCAATCCGCTGATTTCCGAGGCGCCAACTGTGGCTGCAACGTGAATTTCTTCTTGGTGAGCATGCCTGCGGGCCCTGCGGGGTGCCATGTCAAGCATGGTTGGGTGATCCGGGGTCAAAGGAAGCATGGTGACCCCCTTGACTCAGTAGATGAGTAGGCTTGAGTAGGCTTGTTTGTCAAAGTGTGCTACATCTGCTCGTGGATGAGTCTGAGCACTTGATTCATCACTAACAGGCACTTGTCGAGGTGAACGACCCGTGCCTGCAATGTAGGGTGATCATGATTAGGACTATGTTTCCACAGAGTACAAGGGTGTATGCGATCCAAGTCAGAACTTTTGTGCAGTAGCGAGGCTCCTGTGTGGGGAGATGTGCGGAGGGGATATCGTTTGGACATGTTTGGACCATTGGAGCTGACACATCACTTATACAACCACCTGTGGCACATAACATGTAAAAAGAGCATCGCTTCTTTGATCCTTCATGTGACGAGTGTTGGTATGATGGTTTGTTCAACATATTCCTATCATTCAGGATTGGTGTAAGGGCACTCTTTTTTCAGGGATTTGGCAGAGCTTTGTTGACTTTTAGTCAGAAAGGATAGGGCTCGTAAGATACCCTTCAACATTTGGGTCCATGTAATTAAAGTATTTATATATATATATATAGAGAGAGACTCTTGATCAATAAGACCATATGAAGAGGTTTCACAATCCAAACGGGCGGGGGGGTTATATATATATATGTAGTAAGTTGGCAGCAGTTAGAATATGGACTAATTGGTCATATGCCAACTGCATTCCCAAACGAACATGCAGTTCAGCTCGAAAGATGCAGTTCGAATGCGGAGGGGGTGTTAGAATATGGATTGCAACCGGTGAGATGGGAAAAAGGCCGGTGGCAAGTGTTTGGTGTGCCAGCAAAGTTGGCTGCCAAAGAGTGTGTGTATATATATATACATGTTATATATATATATATATGTGTATTTATACATATGCATTTCCATATTCTAATTGCATGTTTCCATATTCTATAACTGTGTGCCCTAAATTAAAACTTCACACGGCTCGAGGAACTACTTTTTAATTGGTTTCCATATTCTATTTGCAAGTAATGACTTTTGGTGAATTCTAACTGCTGGCAACTTACTATAGGTTTTACCAATCAAGACCCTACATTGAGTTTGCATGAGGTAAATATGTATAATATATATATATATAACTTGTTGTGGCAGCCCCAAGACTCCAAGCCACAGGCAGTACAATGACCACTACTGCGATGCCAACTGCGTCGGCGGAAATTGCTGTGCAGAGTTTGACATCAACGAGACTCGAAGCAGCTGGGGAAACACTGTCATTATACCTCCAAAAAGGTTGAATGCGGCACCAGCCGGATTCCAACTACGGCGGACTGACAAAATTGGTCAACTGGGAGCTGTTTCGAAAAACATGGGATTGGTTTGTGCAGTTCAATCCAGTCAGTCATACTTGTTTTCTGCCACGGGCAGCTGGGGTGAGACCGTTTTGGCTAACATCAGTCCTAGTCCTGCTCTGGCAGGCTGCAGGGTAGGACCAATCACATGCAAACAGCATTTCACACTAAGAGTCCCCACCCAAACGGGTCTCCACCAAGCAGGCATGGTGAAGGGTAAGATGCAGACACCGGAGCCAGGGGGTTGGCGCCCGGCCCTGGTGAGTCCCTGCGTTGCCATTGGTCTTTCTGCTCAGATGTCCCAGGACGTCAAAGCTGCCACCCTCCCTGCAACAAACACGGAAGTGGCCAACCCCTTGTTTGGTATTCGGATGTATTCGAAAACTGTTTTTGCGAGAGGCCATTGTCCATTGCCATGATTGTTGCAGGGAAGGTAATTGTTTGGAGCTTCCGCTTGGCAACGTCGACTTGACGCACCTCGGGTCTGTTGCCGGTAGCACTTGGGGTTGCCGTGATGGTCATTCATCAGCGCAGGCTTTTGACTCCAGCGACTCGGGGGTTCCGAAGACTCGGCTTCCGTGTGACTGACGGCGGTTTCGAGACGTTCGGGACGTTCGCGGCGATTCTTTGCTCATTCAGCGCCTGAAATTGGGCATCCGCGGTCGAGAGGTTTGGGGTGGCATGGTTTGGGAACGAAACACCGACACTAGGGCAAGAACTTTGCGCCCACAACAATTGCTTTCCTGTGCCTTGTGTGGTTGCTATGTGAGTTGTGCAATGCAATGTCTCATGCAACCCTCCGAAAGCGTTGTTTAGTATTGACATCACCAAAAGAGCGGAGTGTGAGCGGTACATCCTGGGTTCTCCTTCGTTGGGTACATCACAGACCGGACAAACTCCTTTGGGTGGAAGTTGACGTCGAAAGAGCCCCGTAGCAGGCAAGGAGAAGACAAATTTGGCAATCATCCGCATTGTTGATCCACCGTCAACACGATTGGTTCTGATCTATAAGCCCACACTTTGATGGGTTCGCCCTGTCAGCCAACCCATTCGACTGAGATTGGGAAGGGACACTCCAGATTCGTTTGACTTCAAGAGATTTCCTCGTCACAGCTCCAGTTTGCTCGACGGGTCAATCACTGAGGGGATGAATGACCACGCTTTACAGATCACAAACCACAACTGTTGCTTGGCTCATGTGTAATGTATGAGCTGTATGAGCTCCAAGGCGGCATAACCACCTACCACTCGATCAAGGCATGCATCAATCGGTCCGGGATGGCAAATTGGTCCATAGGCATGGGAATGTCCGTTTCAATTCAGCATAGAAGATCTTCCCAGGCGATGACATACATGCTGACTTTGTGGTGCCCATCATCCCCCAACAACGGCCAATAAATGTCCATGATATATGATTAATTAATATACGTATATGCCAAGACCCAATGATAAACGCCAGGAGCTTGATCAGTTTGCCATGTTTGCCTACATTCCAAAGTTGAGGCTCAAGTTGACGTTGAAACGGGAGACGTAAACTTTGCAGGTACTGGGTACCTGAGAAAGAGCTACTGTTTTCACTTATAAGTGCATGGGTGGTAGGCACCAGTGAGGGTTGTGCCATCTACATCCTATACAAGACTTGTGTCCGATTCCTTGGCAATCGAAACGAGTCTAGGCTATGGAACTCCCAGCAAGGGCAGCTGCGATGGCGATGGCCCCTTGGTCAGATCGGCGGTCGTCGGCGGTCGGCTGGAGGCTGGTGCCAGGAAGGAACAGGAGGGAACAAGGTCAACCCTCAGGTTCCAGGAATGCTTGTAACTTTTGGTGGATGTTGACGTATATTGTGTACTGCAGACGAGTGTTTGACCCAACATGCAGTTCCTGGATGTTCAAAAGACGTGAACATACTCCTTCCACATCCTTCCACATCCGATGCGGTGGCAAGCCCTCATCTGAGGCAATCCCATGATGAGGTTTGGTCCTCCGGAGTATGGCCCTGGCAGCATCTCGGTGCGAAGTGATGGATGACCCGAGAAGAAACGACATTCGATGGGCGTCGACGTCAGTGAATCATGCACGCGAATTTGGGGAGGTTTGCAGGTTGAACAAGAATGCAGGGAGGTTGACGCTCAACGCCACAAGGAAGAGGGAGGTTTACAACCTTACAACGCCTAGGCATGCCTAGGCGTTGTTGATAAAGAGTGGATTTCAGCAGAAGGACCGAGATGACATAGCATGATATAGCATGGCCTTGACGACCAAGGGTTCCGAATGTCTTTTGGAGTGTGAAAACGATCATTTTGTGCCTGGAACAGCAGTGATTTGATTGATTGGAATTCCAGGCAGAGCAAACCACCACTTCCTTAGGAAGGCTGAGCCATTCAAGTCTTGAGCGGGAAAGAGTGTAAGCCTTAGGAATTACCAACCAACCAACTAACGAACCAACGAGGCTTGGTTTATTACCCTACTATTTGTTTTCCCTTTCAATGTCCTTTCCTTCAAATCGAGAGACATGTTCCATTTCGGATGCGAGGCTGGTACACCATCGATACCACGAAGCCCTTCCAATTTGCATTGCAAATCAGCGAGGAGCTCCGAGAACTTGGTTTTGATTTGGACAATGGTGCCTTATACACGTAGGACGTAGTTAGTGTCCCTGGCCAAAGGGCTCCTAAGAACCAAACCAATTGTACGACACTGCTTAACGGCTCCGCTGGTGGGTTTGCTTCAACCATGTTGACACTATTTCATAGTCAGATCCTTAGTATTCCTTAGTGCTGAGAAAATTGTCGCATTTTTCTGCAGCACTCTGACTGGCCATGTCACAGCAGGTGGCAGCTGTGTGGCCACGGTTGTAGGCCCCTAAAGACCCCTAGACACTAGGTGACATCAGCAAGGGACTGGCAATGTCACCACTGAAGAAAGGGAGAAATCTTAGCCCGACTGCTTTCAAGTGCGAGTATCCCATCCCACCCTCATAGGTGGCTTTTGCACATAGCAAATTGCCCCTCAGTCACTGGCAAAGATCGAAAATTGTGCCTCACATCATCACCTGAAGTGCCTCTTGAACTCTTCGTGGTGGGCGTTGGCATGGTGTCAGGAGATTGTGGGAGAGAACAGCCCTGACAACCATTTGATCGTATATGCCCGTCTTTGGCAAGATGCCGGGTGTCGTCGGGTGTTGTCGGGTGTTGTCGGTTTCGGTTGTTTTGAGGGCAATGAGGTCGGCCTCTAGAGGCAGTTCAAGATGGTTCAAGTAACCTGAAGCCTACAGCTTCTGGGGATTGAGGGGAAACTGGTTTTTAGATGTTTTTGGTTGAACTGTGTTCACATGTGTTCACTGTTCAAGCCTGAGTGGGCTTCTGACCACATTTGCTGAAGGGGTGCCCTTCGTTGAGGGTGTCAATTCCAAAGGGAGTCCAATATTATATATATAGTCACCAACCCATTAGTATCAGTATCATGTCATGTCACACGCACACACACTGGCTGCTTCCTGTTTGGATCTGTTTGATGCAGAGATGGGCAGCTATCCATCCAGACCCACCGTGCGTTCAATTGCAGAAAGCCCTTTTGGCCGTTCAAATCATTCCGTCACATGTAATTTCGGCCCCGTAATTAAAGACGTTAGGTCCTGTTAGTGATTGTTTCCCGCAGCATTGGCTTACAGCCGTGGATGTGGGGGCACGCCTCGGCGTGCAACTGCACCCTCTGCCCGAGTATCCGGAGGGTGTTCCGGGTCGTGGCAGAGGGCACGCGGGTGGAGCCAGACCTCTTTTGCGGGTACGCAACCATCAAGGTCCGGAACCTCGTAGGAGAGCTCGAGGACTTCTTGGACGCCCATCGGCCGCTGGCACGGGAGGACTCGGCACGTCCTCCTCCAGTGGTCGGTGACACTTCGAGTGACCACCCACCTGCTGAGCTTCGAGGTCCAGGCAGTGAAGGAGTGGCCAAGAAGAAGGAAGAGAGGCATCTTGAGGCGAAGGAGGACCAGAAGAAGGAAGTGAGGCATCCCGAGGCATCGAAGGAGAGGAGTTCGAAAGAAAGGCACGAGGAGAAGGCAGCCAGGCCTTCAGAGGCATCCAAAAGTCACCCATCAAGACCTGTTTTTCACGGAGGTCAGGAGATCGAGGCTGGTGAAGGTTTGAGCAGAGAAGATCGAGAGAAGGCCGCGAAGAGTCTGGCTGCAAAGAAGTTGCCAAGTCCTCCCGCTCGAGCCCGTGATCGTTCTCCAAGGCCGGAGGTGAGAGTGAAGAAGGAGGAAGAAGCTCCAGACTACAGCGAAGAGGAGTGGCCTGTAGAGGAGCCTGGCGTTCGGGAGGTTTGCAGTCAATCTCCTAGCCGGGAAGACAAGAAGGAAGACTACGAGGAGAGCCCCACGCCCAAGAAAAGGAAGCATCGCCATCGTCGAGATAGGTCCCGTGACCGGAGATCCAAGAGGCAAGAGAGGTCTTCATCGAGTACACCCGTCGCTGGACCTAGTCGACCGGAAGAGGAGGTGAAGGAGGTGAGACGCCCGAGATCCCCATCACGGCCACCGCCACACTGGAAAGGACCAGCCCCTAAGGAGCAAAGGTACGTCTTGAAGCCGAGGCCTAGCAAGGCGAAGCCAAAGGAGGACGGGGGCGCTAACAAGGGGTTGAAGAAGAAGGAAACCCAAAAGACCTTTAAGGAGTACGTGGCTTGGCGGAAAGCGGAAAAGAAGAAGGGGCGATAGATGCCTCCTCGGCCCTTGAGGAGACCCGCCGCTGTTGGGAGGCATCCAGCCCTGAGGAGGAGAAGAGAAGAGGAAGGAGAAGACCGTGACGGAGACGGAGTTAGACGCCGTCCAGCTGCTGCCGACAAAAGGGTGCGAGGTTTAGAGGAAGGAGGAGTTGTGGACGCCTATACTCTTCCAGTGGGAGTCCTCAACCCAGGGTTGAGACTCCTAGGAGAGGGGAAGTACTGGGGGCGAGACATCAACCTGGCCTTTGAAGTGGAGTCCGTACAGGTCCAAGGAGGTGCACTGGAGATCATTGCCCTGGTCAGCGGAACCGAGGACGAAGGGTTTCTTCGATGGTTGACAGCTCAGAGCAGGACTTCAGTGCGCTTGCATCTATGCCCGGTGGATTGCCCAGGAACGCCAGAATCAGACGACCTGGTTCATGTGAAGAAGCTTCAAAGAAGGAGTGCTTCGGATCCGGGTTGGGTCGACAATCTGAAGGGGGCCAGCGGGATGGAAGAACTCCGGCGGCTGGCCGAACGGTCGGACGCTGTGGCCCGGGCAGGCGGAGGAGGTCCCGCTCCAGCTCCGGCAGCCGAAGTGATCCCCGATCCAGGAGGAGCCGAGGAGGAGAAGGAGTCTTCCGAGAGCAGCGATTCCAAGAAGAAGAGAAAGCGCAAAAAGAAAAAGAAGAAGGTTTTCAAAGTTGGAGGAAAGAAGGACTATGGAGCCCTGTTTGCCGGGACCGGCTTGGACAAAGATGCAAAGACGCGGAAGAAGGTGTCCAGGTTGGCGAGAAGGGCTTTGAAGAGGAAGTCAAGAGGTTCCAGCTCCACGGATTCAGAAGGATCCTCGGGGGAGTTGATGGAAGACGAGATGGAGGAGCTGTTCCAGGAGAGCGCGAGAACTCAGCTGGCGGCCAAGAGAGGGCCGGGGGCTTTGGCATTTCACGCCATGAAGCAGATGCGCAAGCAGATGCTCCAGAGCATGGGGCAAGAGGAGCTGGAGAATGTCCCTCTTCAACCTGTCGGATTGCAATTCTTCCGGCAGGTATTGAGCCCAAAGATGAGTCCGGTTATGGCCAGGGAAGCACTCAACGTGACGGCCGCCTTGGATGCTCTGATCGGATGTCAGCCAGCCCTATGTGCAGATATCCTGGTTCAGCGCTTGAAGAGCCTGGAGTGCCTGAGCGGCGGTTCGACTTGGCAAGTTTCCCAGAGGTTCGAAGTTGTGCCGCAGGATCTGGGAACTTTGGCTACGTCGGCCGAATCGTGGGCAGCAGCAAAGGAAAGTCGGGAAGAGCTCCACAACAAGCAACTACAGAGAGGTCAATGGGAGAGCACAACGTGGAAAGGTGGCAAGAGCGAAGTAAAGGGAAAGAGCGATGCGAAGGGCAAAGGGAAGACAAAGGACAAAGAAGGAAAGAACAAAGGAGGAGGAGATCGAGGCCGCGGGGAGAAGACCGACAAGTGAAAGAAGGTCGAGCTTGGGGGGATGAAGAAATCTCCGAAGAGCTCAAAAGGGTGAGAAGAGAGATGCCGTGCCATGAGATCGATGCCGTGAAAGAAAAGATGCCTATGGAGAAAGTTCGGGAGTTGCCCTATGAGCCCGGACTATGTGAACGTACAGGCCTTTCTGCTGGGGGTGCCGACCTGGCAGTGGCAAACCTACACCCATCCGAGATGGATGTGAAAAAATGGGCTGCTTGTGCGAGTGAGTTTCGTGAACTGGTGGAGGGGTGGAGACTCGAACTGTCGTCGTCGTCGCTTTGCAGGGTCTCGTCCACGGGGGATCTTTTTCCGTTTCCCCTCGACATTTTGGAAGGCCACCCCTGTTTTTTGGGTCTTGAGTCGAGTGTTTTGGTTGTGGTGAGAGGTCTGTTGTGCGGGTTGAATCACTTATATGGATATACGTCAGACTCAGGCCTGAAGCTCTCACACGCTCAAGTTAAGTCATGCATGTTTTTGATTGAAGTGGCGAAAAGTTTTTTTGAAAAGATGTCCGAGATTGCCAGAGATATCTTGGGCAGAGTATATGAAGGTGAAGACCATCGATTATAAGGGTGATGAAGTGAAGGTCGCTCAGATGACCAGTTGGGCAAACGTCAGGAGCGCCCTGCCATCAGAAGTTGGGACAGTCCCATTGAGCAGTGTGGTGTCGAAAGGCTCATTGCACTATGTTTTGAACTTCGATTCGTATCTCCTTCCTGAAAGGGATCAGGTGTACACCAAGCCTCCTAGGATCATGGTCCCGGAAGGTGAGTGGGAGGACCTGTGCCAAGGCCTCCTCACCAAGGGAATCTGTGGCCTTATCAGGGAGGATCAAGTGCATCGTGTCGGAGGCAAACCATTATTTAATGGCCTTTTTGGAGTTCCAAAGGACGAAATGGATGGCACAACACCGGTCCACAGGCTGATTATGAATCTTATACCATTGAATCGAATATGTCGTTCGATGAATGGAGATATCAGCACTTTGCCTGCTTGGCCGTCGATGCACCCATTTGAAGTTGGAGTTGACCAGGTCCTGATGGTGAGTTCCGAAGATGTGCGGTGCTTTTTCTATATTTTCTCGGTTCCTGCTGAATGGCACAGGTATTTGGCATTTGGTCGTCGTGTTCCTCCCAGTCTTTGTCCGGATGACCAAGGTCCATTCTATTTGTGCAGCAGAGTGTTGCCCATGGGGTTCTGTAACTCAGTCTCCCTTGCCCAGCATATCCACCGCAACATCGTTGGGGAGGCGGTGAAGGAGTGCGTGAGTCGTGGATTGCGGGCAGGTTGGGAGGCAGAGCATCGGAAGGACCGTCCTTTCTCGTGGAGTAACCCCTCATACCGAGTCTACCTGGACAACTTCGACCTCTTGGAGAAGTGTGACGCCCGACTTGCTCAGGACATAAGGGGAACTTCGTCGAACTTTGTGGAAGCTTTGCGCGCCGACTACGCCAAGCTGCATGTTCCTAGACACCCGAAGAAGGCGGTAGCTAGAGAGACCAAGGCGGAGGTGCAAGGTGCGGAGGTGGACGGGGAGGCTGGCACAGCTTCACCAAAGTCGGACAAGGTTGGCAAGTACCTCCAGCTCTGTCAGCTGCTCTTGCAGCAGGGTAGGTGCACTCAAAGGCAGATGCAGGTGGTCGCTGGCGGTTTCGTTTACTTCTGCACTTTTCGTCGACCTCTTCTTGGTGCACTAAACCAGGTTTGGACCTTCATCCAGAGCTTCGTGAATGGACCTCACACACAAATCATCCCAAGTGGTGTCCGCAGTGAGTTGGGGCGGTTCTGCTTGTTGGTACCTTTGGCGCGCATGGATTTCAGGCTAGGCCTGTCAGGTGTGGCAACAGCATCCGATGCATCGACCACAGGGGGAGGTGTCACAGCCTCCACGGGTCTGACTCAGGTGGGAGCAATCGCGGCGAATTACCCAGTCCGAGGAGATCTGCCAGAGTTGAGCGAGGTGCCCACCGTGTTGACCATTGGCTTGTTCGATGGAATTGGAGGACTGCGTGTTGCGGCTGACGCCGTGGGGCTTTCGGTGATTGGACACATCTCTGTTGAGTGCCACGAGCCAGCCAGGCGAGTGGTTGAGAGTCGCTTTGCTGGTACCATTTTTGTGAAGGACGTGACCGAGATTGATGGTGACATGGTCAAAGAGTGGGCGTGCTTGTACAGCCAGGTTAGCCTGGTGTTGATTGGTGCTGGTCCACCTTGCCAAGGTGTCTCCGGGCTCAATGCCGATCGGCGGGGAGCACTGAAGGATCATCGAAGCGGTCTTTTTCCACATGTCGAACGTGTTGTTGATCTAGTCCGTACGGCTTTCCCATGGGCTCAGGTTCACCGTCTTATGGAATCCGTGGCATCCATGGACACTGCCGACAGGGTTGTGATGAGCCAGTCTGCCGGGAGTACTCCTATACTCCTCGACGCATCTGGTGTGACCGGTTGCCGGCGCCCACGCCTGTATTGGCCTACGTGGGAGTTGGAGGATGGCAATGGAAGCTCCATCTCCACGGTCACGGGTGACGGGTGGGAGCAGGTCACGGAGGTCGCTTTGGAGAGTGCGTACACGGTGGAGGACTTCCTGGAGCCAGGTTGGCACAAGAGCAGCAAACAAGTGTTCCCCACGTTTACAACAAGTCGACCAAGGAATGCCCCTGGTCGGCGCCCGGCGGGACTTCAGCAGTGTGACGCATCTGAGTTGAAGCGTTGGGAAGATGACCAGTTTCGCTTTCCACCTTACCAGTATAGGACTCCCCTGTGCCTTTACAACAAGCGTGGAGAGGTTCGAATCCCCAGTGTTGAAGAGCGGGAGGTCCTGATGGGTTTCCCTCGGGGCTATACTTCAAACTGCTTTCCCAAGTCTCAACGTTCAGGAAGGGCTTGGTTGGATGAGCGGCTGAGCTTGATTGGCAATTCATGGTGCGTTTTTTGTCATCGCTTGGCTGCTGGCGTGTTTGGGCGTGCCCCGTGGCTTGTGCAACAAACTGTCGCTGGATGAGCTCATGCAGCAATGCAAACCCGGTGGAGGTAAGTTGCTTCAAGGATTCTTGCTACGCCCTTTTATGCGTGTGCCGCGTGGACAAGTTGAATCTGCCCAGGACACCCTGATCCGTAAGTTGAGTGGTTTGATCAGTGGGAAGGGAGAGGACCTTCTTCTACAAGCACCATCAGAAGACGTTCAGCGTTCACACAGGTTGCGTGCAAGTATACCTTCCAATCTTTGGCGTTGGCGGGTCATTTGTGGTTGGCGGTGGCGTGGAGACCCAGAACACATTAATGGTCTTGAGCTTCGAGCTGTTCTTACTGCATTGCGGTGGCGCTTTGCTCGCAAAGGGTGGCTGAATACTCGTTTCCTACATATGGTAGACTCTCAAGTGTGTTTGCATGCCCTAGCACGTGGGCGTTCAAGCCGGAAACTCCGGCGGACTCTTCTCCGAATCAATGCACTCCTGTTGGCATCCGGCAGTCATGGTATATGGACATATGTCCATACCGAGCTCAACCCAGCCGACAAACTGGGGTGGATTTAGCAAGGCTGTTTGTTGTGATTGTTTGCTGGCTTCCAAATTTTGGTGGATGATGTTTCATATGAACTTGTCAAATTCAAGCGACTTACTCAAACTAAGTTCTGGATTTTGATGTTTAATCAACAAGTGGTACTACTTGACCAAATTGACATCTGCTTGGCTTTGGCTTGAAAATGTGAGCAGCCCCTCCCCGCTGCGCACGGTGGTGTCCGCCAACAAACTGTTTGACACCTCCCTGTGCAAACTTCCTTTCTGCCTGGGCAGCAGGAGTGATTCAGCTGAATGATTTAGTATCTGGCTGCCTTCCTTCCTCGAATCAATAGGTAGGAGATGTACAGTTCTGGCTTTTTGGTAGGAGACCTAGAGACCTCCTTCCTTCAAAACATTGCGTTCGTTGCAGTCATTGGCTGAGGAAGGTGTGCATTTCTTTGGCGCGCTTTTTTTGAACTGGCCTACGCTTGTGCTTAAAAAATCCTTAAGAAACAACGCTTAGCGCCGAAGTTGCTGGTCAGCTTGGCGGAAAAACATTTCCAAGAAATCCAAGCGGGCATTTGGAAGCTCCAAGCAGAGTTGCGTTGCTGCTTCAGCTGCTACTCCAATTTTTCGTTGGATTTTGTATTTTTGGTCAGGTGGTAAAGATTTCGTGATTTCCTCCAAGATGTCTCTGTCACCTTTTTCATGCGCAAGGAAATGGTTCTCAGCGCGTTGCAATGCTTCTGGGTCAGGCGTCACATCTTCCAAAGTCGGGACGCCCCCGCGTATCCAGAAGCCTAACAACTCCAAGGTGTCCGAGATGAGATCTGACACCAGATCTTTGGCTGGTTCCACATATGAGTCCATTGGGAACCTCAAACCTTCACAAGTAAGTGCACTGTAGACAGCATTGAGCTGTCCCAGCACGAGCCATGCACGTCCCCAGTCCACGCTTGGCCTCAAAAAAGCTTCGGCCATGGCAACTCGGAACTGCGCCTTTTGCGCACAGTGGTCGGACTCCTCCATTTTGTAGTGACGACGCAGTCAGTTTGGGCCGAGGCTATGCAGCTGGTCCTGCTTTGCTTGATTGTAACATATTCGATTGTTTCTTGGCACAGTCATGCTGCAGGTTTCAGGAGTCTGCAAGAGCCTCCTTGATTTCTCCCAGCTCTTTTGAATAATTTGGTGCCGGTTCCCCTTTTTTGCAGCGAAAACAGAGTCACTTCGTCAGTATATTTAATTTGCAGCAGACACAATGAACATTATGTCTTGAAAAAGGAGCTGCACTTCTGACAGCTCACTTTCTAACTCCCTGAAGCCATCATCGTATTTAGCTATGGTGATCATGCGGCGCAGCAACTGGTCCAAGGACTCATGCTCATGCAGAATGGTAGCCTTGTAGGGACAATTTTTGAGAGCTGCTAAAGGCTTGTGTTTGGAACTGGCGCCAATGCCCGCAAGTGTTTGGATAGGAGCTTCAGGTCCACCCCCCCACGCGGTTCGCAGCAACGCTGTCGTGGCTGCTTGCCACATGCTCATCAAAGGTTCCAAACTTGGGCGGCACCCACAAAAAGCAAGAATATTGCGGCAGCTCTCCCGGACAAATTCAATGCAATCCTCATCATTTTCTCGGGTCATCACCATGATCAAAAAGAGGACCAAGGGTTCTGACGGCGCCATCACACCTGCGCAGGCAGCAAAACATGTTGGAAATTAAAAACCTGACGCCAATGAAAGATGTATAATTAGACTGATTTTGCTCAAAGCCCCCCAGCGGTTTAATCATGGCACCTCCGTAGTCAGCGCCAGGCGGGCTCAAACAAGGGCTTTCAGCTTTGGAGTATAATACGCTGAAGGGCAGGTCTCAAATTCAACATGCATTTTTTTGTTAAAATCAAAGGACAGTCAGCTGCAACGTTTAATGGACAACCAGAAAATGCATTGCAGCTACTTGGCAGCACTTGTGCTTTTTTTGTCTTCTCTGGGCACAGTGGCGGTGTGTGAGCGCTTTCGTCTCAGCCACAGGTTGCTACTCTAATACGATGCCTCTGGCAATCAGGATTCTTCTCACTATCCGCTTCACTACACAAACACTCATTGCATTCCCAGCCAATTGCCCCAACGTTTGCGGAGAGTGCTTGGTTTCATCGAAGCTGTAGGAATTGGGTGGGATTCCTTGCAGCAGGAAGTAGTCTTTGTGGTCCAGAAATCGCTGATGCATTTGGGACCAATAGCCATGCCAGCTTTTGCACCTGCTTTCTGTCAAACAAGGTGTGGCGCCCTTCATGAAATGGACTTCGGAGTTGCCGCAATTCACAATCCAGTCTTCATTCAGCTCATTACTTGCGGCGACCTTTGTGTGGAAAGCTGCAAGGTTCTGGCGGACAGTTTGGTTGAGCTTCCGTCCATTCTGATCTATCTCAAGATTTCGCAAATCTTGTTTCACCGGGGCAGCAGGGCCTAAAATAGCCAAAGACATGCAGCGCGGGGATTTCACTGGCCACATGAAATCTTTGCATTGGACGTCGCATCGGATACCTACGATGTAAATCCGTTCTCGATGCTGACACAGGCCTCCATGTTCTTGGGTCGACATGACTGACCAGTAGACGTTGTAGCCTGGCGACAAGATCTGATTTATAAATTTATCAGTTGACCATATGAAAACGGGGAATCCAAACATCATGCTCAGTCCGTTTTTGCCAAGTAGCAAAGTTGGTTGGAGGAATCGCGCAACGCACGCAGAGTTTCCACGAGCAGATTGAATTGCTTTGGGAAGAGCTGCATCAAACCCAAAACGTTCTCAACCAGAAAGGATTTCGGCTTGTGCCGTTGAATTTGCGCAAGGACATGCGCCATCAGCTGACCCCGGGGGTCCTGGACACCCTGTTTTTTCCCTGCCAAACTGAAAGATTGACATGGGAACCCGACTGCGTAAAGGTCGCAATCTTCCCACAATGCGGTGGGGAGAGAGCCGCTGGTGGTCATGTCGTGGTGCAAGTAGTCAGGGCCTATGGCCTCCTGGATGAATTTCCTGGCGCAGGGACACTGATGCCATGTTCTACTCACTTTCACGTGGCAATTATTTCCAAACTGTTTCAAACTAATAACGGGCCTCTTTTTTGGGCAGACTTCTGACGCGTACTTGTGAATGACTTTGACCTCCTGCGTTGCGCCGAAAGCAAGCTTGGATGCCAAGCCTTCGGTGCAAAGCCCTGAGCAGTCACTGGCGACCGTCCAGACTCTGACTGGATGAGTTGGTGGGGGCCCACGCAGGTATGCAGTTACTGATTGGGGGATCAGGTCCACTTTGGGTCGGGCGGCGGCTTTCTTGGCTGGCCGCGCAGCAGGTTTCTTCAAAAAGTGCTTTGCAACGGGTTGTTTGGCGCTCTTGGCGACCGGTCTGGAACTTGCAGCCTTTGGCTTCACCCCTTTCATTTGTAGTTTGGCAGGCTTCTTGGTATTCAAATCTGGGCATTTAAGGGCGGGCAGGTGCAAGCTTGCTGGCGAAGACATGGCTACCAAGGCGAAGAGACTTCAAAAACGGTCAAGTTTGGAAATCCTGCAGTCAATTTTGAAAATCCGAAAGAATCGCTTGGCGGTGTACAATCCCACTCTGATTCATTCCAAGTATTCATCGGAGGTTTGAATGTGTTCACTGCTTGCACTTTTTCCCCCATGGGCTCTTTGTGACAGCGACGTGCGTCACAGCTTTCTAATCAGGTCTCTGACCGGCTTTGCCCCAAAATCAAGAGCGCGTCTTACGTTCTGACTGGCTACCGCAGGAAAATATCTATGCGCCGCTTCAGGCTGTCATGGAACGCAGTCAGAAGTAAGCTTGAGAGGTCTGACATTAATTGACATCAGGCTGGCAGATTCGCCAGCTGACGCTGGAATTCATCCAGCACATTCTGGGCACTGCTTGCGCCAGATCCTCCGTCGCTCGAGCCTGTGGCGCCGTTCCCGGAGCCAGAGCTGCCGCCTCCTGTTTGGCTGCCCGTGACTGCGGTGGATCGGCATTGATTTGCACGGTCGCCTCCCAAGCCTGGGCGCCGTGGCTGAAAAACCTTTTTGACATATATGTTCAGATAATATAATTCTTTACCATGCATTCTTTTTGACATGATAGAAATCAGGCCTAGCAACGGGCAGCAAACTTCGGTTCGTAAATCGTTTCGCTGCTGTTCAACATCTTCAAAAGAAGTTCGCAGACCACCCTTTCTGTCACCATGTTCAAATGTGTCTCTGTGAGACAGAAGCCATGATAGGGGCATCTTTTCAAACAGCACGCCAAGGCCCAGTTTCCATCGGCAGCGCCCACATCCACCACTGCTGTGATGTTGTAGGAATGCAGAAGTTCAAAGCAAAGCGACAGCGGACGCGAATGCCAGAAGACTGGCTCCACGTTTGTCATCTTTCTGGTAGAGACTCCGCGGTGGGATTCAGCTTCGCCTGGCGTTCTTCCACCCACTGCCACTCTGTACTTGCCAAAGACCTCCAGCTTCTCCTAAGGCGTGGGTGTGAAGATGGCTGCATAAAAGGAAACAAAACACGGCTTTTTAGGAAACATGGGTTTCAGCTTGGAAAACTCTAAGATTTGCCGCCGTTCTGCCTTCAGCTGCAAGCTCCAAAGCGTAGCAGGGGCATCCAAAGCAACGTCGCCAATCTTGTTGCCAAGATTGCTGCCTTTGTAGTACAAACGGGCGCGGTAGGTCATGGAATCCTGGAAGGCGTCGTGGGTTACAATCGACATCACCTCGACTTGTTGGAAAATGGTGGAGTTGTGCTTCACATATTGCCTGCGATTCCGCAGGCTATCCTCATCATAGGACAAGTACACGTTCATGACATTCTTGGAGATTTGGCTGCCTGCAGAATTCTGTAAAGAACTCAGCACCTTGCTTGTGTTGCCAGGAGTGAAGCAATCGAAGTAGACCACCATATTCCTGTCTTGCAATTGCAAGGACTGCTTGTCTCTATTCTGGATCACTGCATTCATGAACTGCTTCAAGAGGACCAAGTTCAAAGGCGGAGTTCTGATGTTTGGGCTCGTGATTGCTTCGCCCCATTGGGCCGGGTCCAAAATCACTGCGGTCCAGGCAGGGCCGCTTCCACGAACAGCGGCGGCCGCAGACCCCTGCAAAATCTTGGCGAACTCTGTCTCAGAGTTGGGGATCTCGCTCAACGTCACGTTGGAAGCGAAAAGGTTGCGGGCTTTCTCTTCATACGTGGCAATGAGCTCCAGGATATTGTTTTTAATTTCTCCCATTTTGGCCTGAACATTGTCCAAGAAAGCTAGGAAAGCCGGCGAGCGGTCCTTCAAGGGGCTGACTCCTTCCTGTTCAGTCTCCGCTGCTGCCGCAGTGGTGTCCGCAGCTGCTGCAGCCCTGACGCTTTCGGACTCTTGGCGCAACAAGTTCTTGAGCTCCGTGAATTTTTCGCCCAATGGATTGTCAACTTGCAAGCAATCCACAGGAGCCTTTGCGGCTCGCAAGCCAGACTTCAAATGCTCGTCGAAGGTGTCCCGGAATAGAATGTCCTGCAACATGACTTACAATTCCTTATTAGTGCTTGCTGGAAACTATCATTGAACACAAACTATGGAAACATACTTGGTCCTCGAAAAGCTGTAGGGCTGCGTCTGCGGCTGCTGGCCACCCCGCTTTCCAAGACAAATCACTCTTGCGGTTTGGGTAGCCCACTTTCTGCCGAAAGGTTGCCACATCTTGGCACAACTCTCGCAGAGCTGTTCGATGGGCTTCTTTCAAATCTTTGCCTTCAGTCGTCAAAAACTCCGATGTCAAGTAGTTCCGGAAGCGTAGCTTGAACAGCACAAGGTCAATGTACCCCTTGTTGTGGTCTTTGGCAGTCCCAGTGAGGAATCTAGTCGTGAGGCCGTCCACTTGCAAAAAACCAGCGAGCTTGGCATCTCTCATGTACTGGAAAATCCATACTATCTCGTCAGGCCGGGATGTCTTGGAGACTGTGGCTTGCAAGAGGGAGACCGTTTTCCAAACCGGGTTGTCCGAGGATTCTTCTGCCAAGACCACATCCAAGACAGCGGGCACACGCAAGGCACGGTCCATGACAAGACAGGCGTGGTTGATGAAGCCTGAAACGCTGTCTAGACCTTGAGATAATACTACAGGGGTTCCCAAAAATGACAAATCCTTTTCTTGGATTCGGCCAAGCAGCCAACGGTCAGTTTCTCTGCCGCCGAACTCCACTTCAGCTTCTTGTCATACATGGTTACCAAAGCTTCCGGAGTGAAGTTGCTTCCCAAGCTCTCACGCTTTGCTACCAAATCGAAAATTCTCTGCGTGGGCGTTCTTTGGAGCACTGCCATTTGGACCATGTCTTCTCGGAGCTGAGCACTGGCCCACTCAATCTCCGCCTGGTTCTCCACAACCTTGATGATGCAGACTGTGGATAGACAATGCCGAAACCACTCTTGCAACTCATTTTCATACTCTTTGGCGCCCTCACGAATCAAAGTAGCTGTTGCAGCTGCCGCCTCAAACCAAGCCATGATGGATTCTTCAGGCGACAATCTCTTCCAGCAGCCAAATGCCGGGAAAGTTCCAGCATCCAGCTCGGCCTGCAATATGGCAACGTGCACTGCATGCTGCTCCAAACCAGAAGGCTTCGTGAAGTAGTGACGCTTCAATTTCTCAATTGCTCCTTTGTTGATGGGCACGTGCGGAGAAGACGAGTAGCTATGGTCTAACCAAAACAAATTGATGCGAGACATGTAGCGCTGCTCGCGTTTCAGCGACTGCAACGCGTCTTTCTCGTTGAAGCTCTGCACGAAACCTTCTCGTTCCGGCAGCATTTGCACAATGTCAGCTGCTGCTGCTTCCTCCCGGAAGATTCTCACATTGTCCAAGTGCTTAGAGATATTTTCTCCGTTGCATTTCATAGCTTCTGGAGGGATTGACAAGCCAACACCAGCAGAGGATGCCAATGCCAATGCGCTTGCCGCGCTGTCCCCTTGGCCCTGAGCGGACACTGGAAGCGCTTTAGCCTTGGCAGCTTTCTTAGCCTGCTTCGCCTTGGCCACAGGCTGACCATCCGCACTGGGACGCTTGGGGGCCATGACTACGAAAGTCGATGCAGCCGGTGCAAAGTGAAGCCAAAATTCCTTACGCCGGTGATATGTAGCCTGTCATTGCAGCATGAAAAACTAAAGTGGCCATTGGCCCAAGACTTCTGCTCATGCTCATGCTCTGCTTAAGCACTGCTTGGCGTTAGACAGCCTTAGTATTTCCTGACCCCCACATCTCAATCAAATACG